ATGGAAGATTATAGCAATGCAGGCCTACCTCAAGAAGCAAGAAGAATTGCAAATAACCTAATCTTACACCTAAAGGAGCTAGAAAAAGAACAACAAACAAAACCTAAAACCAGTAGAAGGAAGGAAATAATAAAGATTAGAGCAGAAATAAATGAAGAAATGAACAAATGAATAAAAAAAACAACAGAAGAGATCAATGAAAACAGGAGCTGATTCTTTGAAAAGATCAACAAAATTGATAAACCTCTAGCTAGAATTATCAAAAGAAAAGGGAGAGAGAGAGATTGAGAGAGAGAAAGAGAAAGGACTCAAACAAAATCACAAAAGAAAGAGGAGAAATAACAACCAACACCACAGGAATACAATTATAAGAGAATATTATGAAAAACCAAAATGCCAATGAATTGAACAACCTAGAATAAATGGACAAATGCTTAGAAACATATACCTACCAAAACTGAAACAGGAGGAAATAGAAAATATGAACAGCCTGATAACCAGTAAAGAAATTGAGTCAGTACTCAAAAAATTCTCCAAGAGCAAAAGTCCAGGAACACATGGTTACACAAGTGAATTCTACCAAATATTTAAAGACTTAATATCTATTCTTCTCAAACTATTCCAAAAAACTGAAAAGGAAGGAAAACTTCCAAATTCATTCTATGAGGCCAGCATTACCCTGATACCAAAACCAGATAAAGACACCACCAAGAAAGAGAACTACAGGCCAATATCCCTGATGAACACAGATGCAAAAATCAACAAAATACTAGCAAACCAAATTCAACAATACATTAAAGAAATCATTCACCATGATCAAGTGGGATTTATTCCAGGGTTGCAAGTCTGGTTCAATATTCACAAATCAATCAATGTGATACATCACCTCAATAAGAGAAAGGATAAGAACCATATGATCATTTCAAGAGATACACAAAAACATTTGACAAAGTCCAACATCCATTCATGATAAAAACCCTCAACAAAGTAAGTTTAGAGGGAACATACCTCAACGTAATAAAGGCCATATAGGAGAAACCCACAGCTGACATCATCCTTAATAGGGAAGAACTGAGACCTTTTGTCCTAAGGTCAGGAACAAAACAAGGATGTACACTCTCACCACTTTTATTCCACATAGTATTGGAAGCCACAGCAATCAGAAAACAAAAAGACATAAAAGACATCCAAATCAGTAAGGAAGAAGTAAAACTTTCACTATTTGCAGATGACATGATACACCATGTAGAAAACTTGAAAGACTCCACCAAAAAACTGCTAAAACTGATACACGAATTCAGTCAAGTCACAGGATACAGAATCAACGTACAGAAATCTGTTGCATTTCTATACACCAATAATGAAGCAACAGAAAGAAAAATTAAGACAACAATCATTTACAATTGCACCCAGTATAATAAGATACCTAAGAATAAACCTAACCAAAGAGGTGAAAGATCTGTACTCTGAAAACTATAAAACGCTGATGAAAGAAATTGAAGATGACAGAAAGAAATGGAAAGATATTCCATGCTCATGGATTGGAAGAATAAATAATAGGAGAATGTCTATACTACCCAGAGAAATCAACAGATTTAAAGTAATCCCTATCAAAATACCAACAGCATTTTTCACAGAACTAGAACAAACAGTCCTAAAATTTGTATGGACCCACAAAAGACCCCAAATAGCCAAAGTAATCTTGAAAAGGAAAAGCAAAGTTGGTGGGCTTCAAGTTATATTACAAAGCTGTAGTAATCAAAACAGTATGGACTGGCACAAAAATAGACACATAGATCAATAGAACAGAATAGAAAATAAACAGAAATAAACTCACAATTATATGGTCAATTAATCTTTGGCAAAGCAGGAAAGAACATCCAATGGGTGTTAAGAAAACTGGCCAGCTACATGCAAAAAAATGAAATTGGACCACTTTCTTACACCATGCACAAAAATAAATTCAAAATGGATTAAAGACCTAAATGTGAGACATGAAACCATAAAATCCTAGAAGAGAGCACAGTCAGTAATGTCTCTGACATGGGCTGTAGCAACATTTTTCTAGCTATACCTATGCCTCCTGAGGCAAGGGAAACAAAAGCAAAAATAAACTATTGGGACTACATCAAAATAAAAAGCTTCTACACAGTGAAGGAAACAATGAACAAAGCTAAAAGGCAACCTATGGAATGGGAGAAAATATTTGCAAATGATGTATCTGATGAAGGGCTAGTATCCAAAATATATAAAGAACTTATCAAACTCAACATCCAAAAAACAAATAATCCAGTTAAGAAATGGGTGGTAGACATGAATAGACATTTTTCCAAAGAAGACATACAGATGGCCAACAGACACATGAAAAGATGCTCATCATCACTTATCAGGGAAATGCAAATCAAAACTACAATGAGATATCACCTCATGACTGTCAGAATGGCTAAAATCAACAACACAAGAAACAACAGGTGTTGGTGAGGATGTGGAGAAAAAGGAATCCTTATGCATTGTTGGTGGGAATGCAAACTGGTGCAGCCACTGTGGAAAAGAGTATGGGTTTTCCTCAAAAATTTAAAAATAGAAGTACCTTACGATCCAGCAATTTCACCACTGAGTATTTACATTAATTCATAGGGATATGGGCACCCCTATGTTTATAGCAGCATTATTTACAATAGCCAAGATATGGAAGCCACCCAAGTGTTCATTGATTGATGAATGGATAAAGATGTGGTATGTGTGTGTGTGTGTATAATATTCCATTATATTTGTATAATAGAATATTATTATTCAACTGTAAAAAAAATGAAATCTTGCCATTTGCAATGACATGGATGGAGCTAGAGAGTACAATGCTAAGGGAAAAAAGTCGGTCAGAGAAAGACAAATGCCATATGATTTCACTCACATGTGGAATTTGAGAAACAAAACAAAAGAGCAAAGAGGAAAAAAGGAGAGAGAGATAGAGAGAGACAAATCAAGAAACAGTCTCTTAAATATAGAGTACCATCTGATGGTTATCAGAGGGGAGGCGGGTGGGGGGATGTGTGAAATAGGTGATGGGGGATTAAGGAGTGCACCTGTCATGATGAGCATAGCATGATGTATGGAACTATTGAATTACTATATTGTACACCTGAAGCTAATGTAAGACTGTATGTTAGCTCACTGGAATTAAAATAAAAACTTAGAACAAAACAAAACGAAGAAAAAAAATGAGGCCTCAGTGGGGGAAGGAGTGTCTAGGGTTACCAGGAAAAGTAATGGCATCATTAGATATCTAGAGGGAGATCAGAACTTAAGAAGACAGCAGATTAGCCTGACAGTCCAGAGGACCCAGACAGAGGGACTGTAGGCCAGTGATGCAGAAGGCACAGCATAGAATCTTTGAACTGCCATGGGTGAGGAGTGGTAGGCAGGACATGATGGCGGAGACCTTCTGGGTCCCAACAGAGAAAGCTCCCAGAGCAGAACTAAATTGGGAGCACCTGAATCCTTATGCCTCACCTACCCACCCTGAGAGATCTCAGAAGTTCCCCCAAAAGCTGGAAGCCTTGACTAAAATTTTGATGTTTTACACATAGGAATTTTCCTTTCAGTAATTTTTCCTAATGGCATATCTAGACTAGTGTCCAAACATGTACATAAGTGGATATTTACCACCATTTTGTTTATAATAGCAAAAAAACTTTGGAAAATGGGTCATTTGTCTCTGAATATTTTTCTATATTTTAAATTTTGTAACAAACTGTGTAACTTTTATAATCATAAATCAAGAATAAAATCAAAGATGCAAGCAAAGTAATAGAAAATTACTTGGAAAAGCCTTCCTCAGATCATTTTATTCCTATTATTATCAAATACAGTTTGTAAGAATTAAGTTAGAGATAACATTTTGAAATCTTCCCCATGTACCATCCTTATTAATAATCTAGTTTCTTTCCTTACAAGCTTTCAGTTATTGTTGGCCCATGGAAAGAAAAGTCCTATGTCACCTGGGGAAGGCAGTTCCTATCAAACAGGCAGGGGTGCTGGTAGGAGCTTAGAGATTAGAGAGATTAAAGCAAGGGTGAAGAGATCACCTGCATCCCTGAGAAGAGCCTCAGTTCTTTTTTTTGGTTAATTTTTTATTGTTATGTTAATCACCATACATTACATCATTAGTTTTTGATGTAGTGTTCCATGATTCATCGTTTGTGCATAACACCCAGTGCTCCATGCAGAACGTGCCCTCTTTAATACCCATCACCAGGCTAACCCGTCCCCCCACCCCCCTCCCCTCTAGAACCCTCAGTTTGTTTTTCAGAGTCCATCGTCTCTCATGGTTGGTCTCCCCCTCCGATTTCCCCCCTTCATTCTTCCCCTCCTGCTATCTTCTTCTTTGTTTTTTCTTAACATATATTGCATTATTTGTTTCAGAGGTACAGATCTGTGATTCAACAGTCTTGCACAATTCACAGCACTCGCCATAGCACATACCCTCCCCAGTGTCTATCGCCCAGCCACCCCATCCCTCCCACCCCCCACCACTCCAGCAACGTCAGTTTGTTTCCTGAGATTAAGAATTCCTCATATCAGTGAAAGCCTCAGTTCTCTTATCTGCTATGTGTCAGCAGTGAAATTATAACCTCCCTCAACATGCAGGCACCATGGGTAGTCCAACTTTGTATAACTAGTACTGAAAACTTGGAGATGTATATAACATGTACTCAAGGGGTTGGGGGGATGGGTTAGCCTGGTGATGAGTATTAAAGAGGGCACATTCTGCGTGGAGCACTGGGTGTTATGCACAAACAATGAATCCTGGAACACTACAACAAAAACTAATGATGTAATGTATGGTGATTAACATAACAATAAAAAATTATTTAAAATAAAAAAAATAACAGGTACTCAAAAATACTTATTATTAAGTGCATGATTAATTAGCCCTGTTTTCTTACTTTCATTTTGAAACTTTCAAAGTAAGTTAAAAATTTTAGTGGGAATATACTTACAACTGAACCAAAGGATGAAACTTTTCTCCGAAATCAAGTCTCAATGGGCAGCCATATTTTTTCCAATCATATTTTACTCTCTAGAAAAGGAAAAATGCTTTAGTTATTTTCTATATTTGGCTGGTTGATAAAATTATAGTTTTCTTACCAAGTTTTTAGATGGTTGATTCCTCAGGTATGACCTGTAAAAAAGACATTTTTCATTATTTATTTTTCTTTCCTCTTTTCAAACTTAAAAATTAAAGCCATTACTTTGTTCAGTAAAGAGGTATCGCAAAAATTAAACAAATAAACATAATTACAAAATACTCCCCAATTGTGTGGAGATTAAATACACACTTCTAAATAATACATGCATCAAAGAAGAAATCTTAAGAGAAATTTAAAGATTTTGAATTAAATGAAAATGAAAACACAACTTATCAAAATTTGTGAGATGCAGCAAAAGCAGTACCTAGAGGTAAATTTGTAACAATGAACGTATATATTAGAAAAGTTATCCTATGTTAATAGGAATAAATACTAGCTGATTCTAAATTATTGGTACTAATAATTAATATAAAACAGTGCTTATGTTAAAAATATTTCTTACTTTTCAATAACGTAAAAGAAATCATGCTGAAGACAGTCTTTTTTATTAAATCTACAAAAAATAAAACATGATGAAGTTGTAATATCATCATTCCTTATACACTTGCACAAACATTTAATCATTTAACTCAGTGATTCTCAAACTTGAGAGTATCACGGAATCATCACTTATTGAATTAGAATCCTGGGGTTAATGTGTGGCCCTAGCATTTCGTTTTTTTTTTTTTTTAAAGATTTTATTTATTTATTTTAGAGAGAGAGCGAGAGCACACTCACAAGAGTGGGGGTAGGAGCAGAGGGAGAGGGAGATTCTCAAGCAGGCTCTATGCTCAGCAGAGAGCCCCATGCAGGGCTCGATCTCACCACCCTGAGATCATGACCTGAGCCAAAATCAAGAGTTGGAGGCTTAACCAACAGAGACACCCAGGTGCACAATGGCCCTAGCATTTCTATTTTTAAAAATAAATGTTTCTGAGGACATCAGAATTTGAAACATACTGATTTATCTATATCTGATACATGTGAAAAATTCAATGAAAATTTATCAAAATGAAGATAAATTTCTTTGGGCTATTTTATTCCTCATAATTGTTGTAAAAAACAGATTTCTAATTGCTACTGGAGACTCAGTTGTGCAAGTAAGGAGCTACTTTAAGGTGGCACATAATTTCTGGTTAGTGTTCATGCAAACATAAGGCTATCATGGTCTATAAAATGATAAAGTTTTCAATAAGTTAAATTATTCATTTGACCATTTTTGCTGGCTGCTTCCAGTGTAACTCAGAAGGAACCTTGGTCACCACTGTGTTTAGATAGATACTGGAAGTCTAGACCATTTCCCACCCTGAAGCCCAAAATAGACCCCATGAGATGCCCTTCATCATGAACATCTCTCCTGTCACAGGTACCTTGGACCCCATGGGCCTCCTTTCATGACTGTGAAAACCTCAGGCCCACCACAACCTGAATGCAAGATATTAGGGCCATTTTTAGGGTTCCAGAACAGTGGGTCATTGATTAAGAGGCCTGGAGTAAGTTTCTAAAATCTGTGTTTTTCAAACATGCTCTCCAGGTAGGTCTGATGAACAACCAGCCTTGACGATTGCAATATAGACCCTCCCAGAAATAGACTGAAATCTGCACACAGCGGTACTGCATGTGGTGGTACTGGGAACTGATTTTGGTAATGTTGCTTAGAGCAGTTATTCTCAAATTTTAATGCTCTTGCTAATCTCCTGATAATTTAGTGAAAATAGTGGTTCTGTTCAGCAGGTGTGGGACAAGGCTCGAAATCCTGCATTTCCAATAAACGCCCAGCGATGCCAGTACTGACCCACAGACCATTCCAGAAGCAGATGCCATGCACTGTATAAATCAGTTAGCCTTTGTGTGTCCTGGAAAAGGAGTTGTGGAAATGCAAATTCCTTGCTCACTGAAATGGGAAAACTTGATTGTCAATCCAGCAACTGATTATTACAATTCCGTACTCAAAAGATTATTAGAATGGCAGGTGAGTAGACATTTGTTTTGGATGAGAACAAGTCATTCCATAGTCTCGGATAAGAGTCACTACTCCCACACTCATCCCTACTCCTAACCACAGGAGAGGAGCTGTGGTACATTGCTGTCTCGAGTAGGCACTTCATCTCCACTGAATGGATTGTGCATGCTGACCTGGATTCTCCCCCATATAGGAGAGAGCCAGCTGTGGCCAGTGGATGACAAAATCCAGTGTGCTTCACTGTGACCACAGCACGAGCAATAAAATCACACCTTGGGGTTCTCTGGAGGAAGCCCTGGTGGGTTCTGTGAGGTTTGCTCCAAAAACATTTCCCACGGGTAATGGTGCAGGTTTCTCTGATGTGGATGTAAGCAATTCTCTGATGGAAATGACATTATAACTGGTTTGAGTAGAATGGAAAGTAGACACGTTTCTCCCTCTTGTTTCTCTGGGAATGAGGGCTAGCCTGAAGAGCTCAGAGAGAAAATGGTGATGGATAGAAACAGGATGATTAAAAGGGAAGGAGGAGAAAAATGCAGGCAACAGGGAAAGAGGTTAATCCTTTTTTACCTGTTAGTATGATTCAGAGGTAAGGTTTGACTTGGCAAAAAGTTCAAACAAATCGGGTTTGGACAAACTGTCAGTTCAGTTTCTGGACGCCAGTGTCAGTTCAATTTTCGGATTTCATCTTGAACACGTCAGTCATTAGGCTAATAGTACCACCAGTATTTACCATGTAGTTCACCATTTGTTTGAAAACGTAAAGAGTAAGACAGGTCAAATGCAAATATACTTGCCCTTTAACAGCAATGTATTTGGTAGAATCACAGCCAACAGCTATTTGGAATACCTAAAATGAAGCAATTTAAGTGGTGAGGTGTGTGGTTCTGATTCCCATGAGCTAAAATGTTACTACAGCGAAAAGTGATTACATTTTAGATTTGAAATAATAACCCTTTAAATGTAGGGTTTTGTTATACTTTTCTGTGCTGTTTTACACCTTCTTTCTGATCACATTTTTTCTGTCTTTGCTTCCTGTTGCCATTACTGCTCACAAGGCCCAAAGCCTAGTTCTCTGCTTTTTGACATCAGTATCTCAGAGGACTAACCCAATCTCATCTTTCAGCAGCATGTCTACCACCATCATCATCGACTGTGTTCTTCCAGCCTGCACCTGACTCGGTGGCAGCTGGAGGGTTTCTGTAATATATCTTGCTATTCGTTTGACCAGAGACCTGGTTCTTCCCTGACTAGGATGCCTATTTCTATTTCCACCTGGTCCAGGACATTTACTTACTGCTGTCTACCCTACAGAGGTAGACACCCCCAGGCTTCCTAAGTGGGATCTAGACACTTGCTTTCGGTCTTAAAAATGTCCTGTACATTGCATTTCTCCACAAGGTGAATCTGAAAAAAACTCTAATACTCCCTACCCCGAAGAAGGACGTGGGGATCAGGAGGGTGGGGATAGGGAACCATGTCCAGACAAGCTTGATGGATTTAAAGAGTTATACCTGCTAACCCAGACTTTTCCGCCGTCATGGAAAGGCATGCTCCACAGCAGGAGTTCAGGCATTCTATTGCCTGAACCACCTGATCTCGGTCCCAGGACCTGATTTGTTCTGTCAGCAGCTCTACCCACAGTCCTTGGGTGTCCGTCATCATCAGATCTTTGTTTGTTTGTTTTTAAAGATTTTATTTATTTATTTGACAGAGAGAGAGAGAGGGAACACAAGCAGGGGGAGTGGGAGAGGGAGAAGCAGGCTCCCGGCTGAGCAGGGAGCCCGATGCGGGGCCTGATCCCAGGACCCCGGGATCATGACCTGAGCCGAAGGCAGTCGCTCAACCAACTAAGCCACCCAGGTGCCCCAGATCTTTGTTTTCCCATCAGATGTGTTCAGAAGCGTGGGCCTGCCCTTTATTTTTACTAAACTATCCATATGACACCCTTGGTTGACTGAGGTCCTCAAATCTTTCAGTCAAGACTCACCATCACTTGATCCCTTCTCTTCTGGCACCCAGTTGACAAAAATCAACAACCACGCTTAGTATTAAAAATCTGAGTTGACCTGCAGGTAGATCTCGAACAGAAGCATGGGTAGAGAGTATGGGAAGCGTGAATCAGGCTGTTTTCTAGGTTACCCACTCTGATAGGGCTGACAGTGTACTCAGGACTGGATACCTAATTAGAGAAATTCTGACATACAGCCCAAATGAAAACAATGAGTACATTCTGGTCTTCTTTATTTAATATTATTCTCTGAAATGCGGAGACAGGGCAGGACTGCTCTTCACTTAGCCCAGGGTCAGACACAGCACATTCCCCCTAAGTGGACAAAACAACTGAACTGAGACAGGAATTCTAAAGGTCCTCAACACAGAAATGTTGGTAAATAATGTGTTAGGGTGTAGTCATCTCTCCCTGGGAAAATTCATGCTGGAAGGAATTACTAAGGCTTTCTGGGGACTGGCTCACTGGGGTAGCTTCACTGCCGACCATACAAACTACTGGCTCCCGACACAGAGGGTGGCCAGGTTTGAACTGCCCGTGTCTTGGGGTGTGCCAAGCAAGGAAGAGAAGGAACGAACCTGTAGTATTAGTTACTTTGTGACAGGCACTGTGCTGGGCACTTTAATGATCTCATTTAATACTCTCAACAGAGCAGATAAATACCGTGAGATAGAAGTTACATTTCCCTTTTAGGGTTGAGGCCCCTGAGACTTAGTGTTTAGTAGCTTGCCCCGGCCAGTGGGTGGCAGAGCTCCCAACGGAACGCAGGTTCGATTAACCTGCTTTTGTAATACTGGGGCTGGGTGGAATACAGTGGATGGGATCCCTAACACATCTATTGACTAGGAAAGCAAGGTGCTTCTGGAAGGTGTCTGTACGGAACAAGCAGCTGAAGATGGAGAGCCCAGGCGGAGGCTGGGGAAGAACTGGCTACCTTGCTGTTTCTTGCTTCCTGGGCACATGAGGCTGGGTGGGCCGCGCGGTGGGCAGACAGAGGGGAGGGGCTGGTGAGCACCCGCAGGCAGTTTCCCGGGGAAGCAGGGTGTGTGTCGGCAGCGCTCAAGCTCGGCTCACACCTGCCTCAGCTCAGGGCTCCCTCCAAATTCATGGAAGCTTGTCCTGGTAGGAACAGGCTCCTTGTGCTGGGGTCCTGAAGGGCAGGGACTGCATATCGTCTACCTTTGAATTCTTCTTGTAGGCATTCCTTGCTGTGTTACACCTGGTATATAGTAGGCGCTCAATGTATGCTTATTGATTGTTAGTTAGGCTGAGAAGGAATAAAGCGAGGAGGCAACCCTCAAGGTAGAACAGACTCAGGAGAGGTGGTGGCCTGACGGATCTGTGTTCAGTTACCTGGACCCCCCGCTGCTGTATCACCGGATGTGCTTTTGTAGACGCGGCTTCCTGGAATTCCCTTTGTATCAGTCTGCTCACCTTCCACTTACTCTTCAACATTTTTTGCCTCAACCTGCCCCTCTCCAGTCAAAAGTGCCCGCTCTTCTGGGCTCTCTGATGACTGTGCATCTCATATTCCCTTAGAGTAGCTTTTGTTTGCCCCTAGGGAAGAGCCGGTCTTTTCATCTTTGTAACTCCCTGTTACCTAGCACGCAGACTGAAGCTAAGGAACACAGTAGGTACACAATAAATTTTAGATCTTAATTTTTTTTGAATGAAGAAATGATAAATGTAGACCTAACTGGCCCTCTTCTCTGACAAACCATATCCTACTTGAGTTCCCATTCATTTCAGTTTTCCTTTATAGTTTTATCTCCAAAATTATTTTCCATTTTTGTATGCGTTTCTACACCTCACTTTCGATGGTAAACGCCAGGAAGATGGAACCGTGGTCTGTCTCCAAAGTGAAATAGTGCGGCCCCCCCCCCCGCCTCCGTGAGACATGACACACCCCGCCCAGGATGAAGGTGCTATTACTTGTGAGGATTATCCTACCCACCGACTGTGGCTTTACTGAAGTAAAGGTGTTGATCCACCTCTGTCACTTACCTTTTGGGCTATTGGACATGCTCTTGCATATTCACTAGGCCGAACCTGCACAAGCCGAAGGCCGGTGTTCTGGTCTCTAGGAGAAACGGCACACGCAGGTGGTTACATAATCACAAGGGAGGCAGGCACGGAGCCCGCCTTCCCATAGAGCCCATGGAAAGTCCCATGGACACTGGGTGACGGGACCCCAGGAGGAATTCTAGAGGCCTGGGAGGGGGAGGTGGGAGTGACTGCCTGCTGCTTCTGCTAAGGCAGCGGCGCCCTGTGGTCACTCCCTGAAGTCACCCTCACCTCACGGCGGGCTAGTGTAGGGTCGGTCCAATGGGAAACAGAAGTGAGCATCTATCATTTCCACCGCCCACCCCCGCCCCATTTTATTAACACCCTCAGTCCCTTAGCATCTCTAACATCAGGTCCTGCTTTCTAATGATCTTAGAAGGCCACAGGTGCTCTGTTTGTTCTTTCTCTAGCCTCTACGGATCTTTTCCTCCTATTGATGACACTTTTGGAACCACAAACGTAAGTTATGAGATTAGTTTTCTGAGCTGCGTTATGCTGCAATACTATATGGTCCGACTGGAAGCAAAAGTGAGATCAAATTTCTAGGTTCTGAAGTGCATAAGAATCGTTTCGTGCTCAGACAAAATGGGAGGGGTCAAAAATCGCAGAAAAACTTTTGAAAGTTTTATTGATACTCCGCCCCGCTAAGGTTTTTCCTTTTTGAAAAAAACTGGGGAAAAACAAACTAACCACAAACAAATGTTCTTTTTCTTCCAATATTTGTCACATTTTAATATTTATTTATTTGTCGTATATTAGGTATAAAATGTAATAAGTGAGGATACAAATAGCACATTTTATATTTTTAAATCACTGTACCATATATTTCATCAATTCTAAGATACATATTTTTTCTCATTTAACACCCTTAAAACCAGGAAGCACCTTACAATTATGCCGATTATGGTTTGTTTTCCAGTGTGATGGAATCTTTGATTTGACAAATACAGTAATATAGTCTAGATCTATGAAGGACACTCGAGTAAATATTGCATCTACAATTTTCTATACAATGTTTCTTGTAAGAAAGTTTTTCTTTTCCCCTACTACAGCTGATTTCAAAGTTTTTGGTATTTTTTTCTCAAGTCTTGGACTGACCTGAAGTATCCTGGACAATTTGATATGTATTCGACAGCACAATAGAATTCTGAGTAAATATCCACAAAACCAAAAATACCCCCAAGGAACCCACAACATCAGAAGCATCCAGAGAAAAGTTGGTGGGTGAGGGGGTGAGGTGTGAATTGAGCCTCCCTTGACTACAGTCTCTAGAGTGGTCTTTTCTCTCTCCCCTTCCTGGTCACTCTCTACCACTTCATTCTGTTGTATTTTCTTTTTTTTTTTTTTTAGATTTATTTATTTTAAAGAGAGAAAGAGAGCCGGGGGAGGGGCAGAGAGAGAGACAGAGAGAATCTCAAGCAGACTCCCTGCTGAGTGTGGAGCCCAACATGGGGCTCGATCCCATGACCCTGAGATCATGACCTGAGCTGAGATCAAGAGTTGGATGCTCACATTTGCAACGACGTGGATGGAACTGGAGGGTGTTATGCTGAGTGAAATAAGTCAGTCAGAGAAAGACATGTATCATATGACCTCACTGATATGAGGAATTCTTAATCTCAGGAAACAAACTGAGGGTTGCTGGAGTGGTGGGGGGTGGGAGGGATTGGGTGGCTGGGTGATAGACATCGGGGAGGGTATGTGCTATGGTGAGCATTGTGAATTGTACAAGACTGATGAATCACGGATCTGTACTTCTGAAACGAATAATGCAATATATGTTAAGAAAAAAAAAGAAGAAGAAGAAGAAGATAGCAGGAGGGGAAGAATGAAGGGGAGTAAGTCGGAGGGGGAGACGAACCATGAGAGACGATGGACTCTGAAAAACAAACTGAGGGTTCTAGAGGGGAGGGGGGTGGGGGGATGGGTTGGCCTGGTGATGGGTATTGAAGGGGGCACATTCTGCGTGGAGCACTGGGTGTTATGCACAAACAATGAATCATGGAACACTGCATCAAAAACTAATGATGTAATGTATGGTGGTTAACATAACAATAAAATTATTAAAAAAAAAAAGAGTTGGATGCTCAACCAACTGAGCTACTCAGGTGCCCTCCTGTTTTATTTTCTTAACTGCACTTATAACTACTTGAAATTATCTTGCTCATTTATTTGTTCTTTGTCTTCTCTCACTAGAGATATGTCCCATGATGGCAGAACTTCATCTTACTTGTTCACCATGTGTTTTGAGCACCTACAAAGTGCTTGGCATAGAGCAGGTGTTCAAACTCACTTGGAGGAGCAGCAGACTAAGGAAAATGGACTTTTTCCTAGAAAAACAGTGCTATTTTTCCAGAAAAATTATCGAGTCAGGACATAATGACAGCCATAGAATGCCTCAAGACACAATTCCAGGTCAGCTATTTCCTCCAGAAATGACGTGCTCAGGTGCTACCTATTCCAAGAGTCAAAGATGATGTTTTTTCTGATTCTACTCATAGTTAAAGGCCTTCTCATATTAGAGTTCTAGTCTGCCCAAGGATAGTATGCAAAGATTTTGGGATGGGAATGAATGATAACACATGCTTGAAATTTACTGAATTAAGAAATAGCCGATTTTTCACTTGATGGAATGAGCACTGGGTGTCATATGCAACTGATGAATCACTAAACTCTACCTCTGACACTAATACACTATGTGTTAATTGATTTTAAGTAAAAAAAAAAAAAAGAAATAGCCCATTTTTTTTGCATCTTCTGTTGGACAAATGGAAACCTCTAGATATGTTTCATTTAATTACAAGGAGTATTTTACACTTTTATACAGAATAATAATTTCACATCTAACCAGACACTTAAAGAAATTTGAAATGTAGATATTTAAAGTGACATGAGGCCATGTAGGTAAAAGAATACCTACAAATCAATCATCTCAATAGCACATTTCACATCAAATAGGTTCTTTTAAAAGTCATACTTACTGCAACTTGAAGTAGTCATCTACTGCCTCATAATTTATATTCTGAAAAAATGTTACTGTCTGAAAAAGAAAATGAACGTTTGTGTAAAACATGAAAACTGGGAATGGGGACAATGAATACTTTCAGGACAGATTTAAACCTTTCTTTAGGTAAGAAAAAATATATTTAGCATTTTTTTCCAATTTCTTTTCTTTTCTATTTCAGAAATTCCAATTATGGACATATTAAATTTCCTTTGTTACATTTTTCTTATTTTCTCTGCTAACTGTATCTTATGAAGTCCTTTTATTTATATTGCTTCTCTCTCTCTCTTCATTTACTTTTGTCATTGCAATATTCTTATTTTCATTTATGTCCTGAAGTGCAGCCAGCTCTCTCCCATTTCCTAATCACCTTGTCTCTGGACCTTTTTATTTCTTCTTTGAGGTTTTTTAAATAATTACAGATATGTTGTCAGTAATTTTTGAGACTATGAGGAATTATTTGCCTGAACCTTCTTCTCTTGCTTTTGAATAATTAAAAAAAATCCATTTGCCTTTTTGTATATGTTCCTTGCTATTTTCTTCCATCTGGGGCATGTTTCATCTCAATTTTCAGCATTCCAGAAGGTTTCTATCTTTTCAGGATGAAGCCATTTACAGAACATATATGATATTAAAGGCAAAAAATTATAAGCCTAACATTTTTAAAGCATGGTAACTATAGTCACTATATCCCCTAAATTACATTTTTGGTGGTAGTTCTTTGTTATATATGTAGATAGAGGATAGATAGATAGATAGATAGACAGATAGATATAGACATCTATCTAGGTATCTTCAAAGAGATCAATTTGGATCTGGCTAATCTGGTGTAATTAGAACAGAGACATTGTGCCTCTAAAACGACCTTTGCAAAAAATATTACTTCTGAGGCAAGGTTTATTTATTCATATGTTGGATGCTAAGTGGTATGACACAAAATATATAATCTTTCGTGAAAAAGTTGAAGGCTGTTGGTGGGAATGCAAGTTGGTACAGCCACTTTGGAAGACAGTGTGGAGGTTCCTCAAAGATTTAAAAATAGAGCTACCCTGGGCGCCTGGGTGGCTCAGTTGGTTAAGCGACTGCCTTCGGCTCAGGTCATGATCCTGGAGTCCCGGGATCGAGTCCCGCATCGGGCTCCCTGCTCGGCGGGGAGCCTGCTTCTCCCTCTGACCCTCTTCCCTCTCGTGCTCTCTATCTCTCATTCTCTCTCTCTCTCTCAAATAAATAAATAAAATCTTAAAAAAAAATAAAAAAAAAAATAAAAATAGAGCTACCCTATGACCAAGCAATTGCACTACTGGGTATTTACCCCAAAGACACAGATGTAGTGAAAAGAAGGGCCGTATGCACCCCAATGTTCATAGCAGCAATGTCTGCAATAGCCAAACTGTGGAAAGAGCCGAGAAGCCCTTCAACAGATGAATGGATAAAGATGTGGTCCATATATACAATGGAATATGACTCAGACATCAGAAAGGATGAATACCCAACTTTTACATCAACATGGATGGGACTGGAGGAGATTATGCTAAGTGAAATAAGTCAGGCAGAGAAAGTCAATTATCATATGGTTGCACTTATTTGTGGAACATAAGGAATAGCATGGAGGACATTAGGAGAAGGAAGGGAAAAATTGGGGGGGAATTGGAGGGAGAGATGAACCATGAGAGACTATGGACTCTGAGAAACAAACAGGGTTTTAGAGGGGAGCGGGGAGGGAGGATTGGTTAGACTGGTGATGGGTATTAAGGAGGGCACGTACTGCATGGAGCACTGGGTGGTATACGAAAACAATGGATCGTGGATCACCACATCAAAACCTAATGATGTATTGTATGGTGACTAACATAACATAATAAAATTAAAAAAAAAAGTTGAAGGCTGTGGAGGTCATTACATTAAAAATAAATCTAGTTCATGTTCAAGGAAAGGAACTAATTGTCAAATTTCCACTTGTGTTCTATTGTACACCATATTTTTCTTCATATGCAATCATTAAAATAACTTTATAAAGATGTTCTTGCACATAATTAGGCGTGAAGATTTTAATATTTTGTGAAATGTAAGCATATTCTTCAAGTTTTGCTTATCAATTGTCACTTAAGTGGTGCTCAAACTTGGGTCTGTAACTCAACCAACATATATGTATATTTTTTGGATTATAATCACTGAAAATATTTACCCAGTGGACCTATTTAAAAAATATATTTTGTGGATGTGATCATCTGCTTAAAAACCATTTCATTATAAATAATTAAGAAATGATTTGGAGACTTTCATTTCTAGGAGCAGCAGGTAGTTTCTATGGACAAACTTTTGCTCTTAAAAACAAACATATAAGCACTGGGTGTTATATACAACTGATGAATCACTGAACTCTACCTCTGAAACTAATAATACACTATAAGTTAATCAATTGAATGTAAATAAAATAAAAACAAGACAAAACAAACAAACATATCACAAAGCAAACAGCAGCCTTTTAAGAGTCACCTTAAAAGCACCAAATAACTGACAAGAGAGTAGGGAAATATTAGCCCAAAGACAGGGAAATTAGGAATCTTGAGAATAAAGCAGAACACCAGAGCCCATAGTCTACTTTTAGCCTAAAGGCATTTGTCAACCTAGTCAAGAGAGAGGGGATTTAAGATAGAGAATCAAATTGGAAATCCTCCCTACATTAACCTGTGTTATCAGAAGACTATATTCTCAGGGTAAGAGTAAGTCAGGATTAAATTTGTGCCCTCCTTAACCCTTCAGTGACATCAGTAACTAAGTGATCAGAAAAAGCAAGAAAAGTAAGTTTGTCCTAACAATTGGTGGCAATGGGTAGGTTCTTGTATGGCTTTATATCCCAGAATTTTTTGCCTGGAAGACTCAGGGGATTTTAAAAAGTTCAAGGCAGTAGTGCCCCTAGACATGCCCTGACAGTGGCAAACACAGATCATCTTAAGATCAGGATATTTCTTATTCCACTTCAGGGAATTCTTATAAATACTTTTACAAATGGGACGCTTGGGTGGCACAGTCGGTTAAGCATCCAACTCTTGGTTTTGGCTCAGGTTATGATCTCAGGGTCCTGAGATCGAGCCCTGTGTGGGAAGTTAAAAAAAAATTTTTTTTTTAAACCAGAAGGGACAAATAGAAAACAAATAGTCAAGCGGTAAATTTAAACTCAGCCATATAAAAAAATTACACGAATGCACCCAATGAGAAGGCAAAAATGTTCAGATTGGATAAACAAATAAAATCCAACTTAAAAAAAAACTTTAAAGACACTAATGGTTAATATTAAAAGAATATTAAATATCAAAAGAAAAGAAGATACGTTGTGCTAACATTATTTTAAAGAACGTTGGAGTGGTTCTATAAATATCACACAAAGTAGATTTTAGAGCAAAAATTATCACTAGATGAAAAGGGGTCATTTCATAGAGATAATGGAGTTGATTCATCAAAAGGAAATAATAATTCTAAATGATTATGCTGAGTGAAAGAAAGCAGATAAAACAGAGTGCATACTGTATGTTTCCATTTATATAAAATTCTAGAAAAGCAAACTAATGTATAGTGATAGCAAGCGGATCAGTGGTTGCCTAGTGATGGGGAATGGAAGGAGGGATGGTTTACAAAGGAGCATGAAGAAACTTTGAGGGGTAGACATGGACATTCTCTTGATTGTGGGGTATAATTTCATGGGTGTATACATACATCACATTTTATCAAACACATTAAATATATGCAATTTATTGCATGCGAATTATACACAAATAAAACACTTCAAAAAGACAGTCTTTGAGATGCAAAAAAAATTCAGTAAGAAAAGGCACACAACCCTATAGAAAAAGTGACAAAACTTGAGTTTCACAGGAGTGGGAATCCAAATAGCCAATAAACATGTGGAAAATTGTTTAACCTCGTCAATAAGAAGAGACTAGAAAATAAAAAAAATAACACACACACACTAGTTGGGCAAAAATTAAAGTTTGACCATACCAAATTATTGGCATAAATACTAAAACCTTGAACTTTGAGATGACATCATGGAAGAACATTTTCATGACTTAGGGATAGGCAAATGTATCTTAGGACACAAAAAGCAATAGCCATAAATGAAAAAGCTTTATCAAAATAAAAAAATTCTACTTATTAAAAGGCACCATTAAGAAAATGAATAGGCAGTGTTCTGGTTCAAGGTGGTGACATGGGAGGATCCTGAAATCACTTCCTCCCATGGACACACCAAATTTATAGCTACATATAGAACAGTGTTCTCTGAAAGAAACCCCAAAACTAGCTGAGCGATGCCTACACATTAGGTGAATGAGAAAAAAAAAAAAAAACCCACAGAGAAATAGGTAGGGGAAGCTAGAACATAGCCTCATCACAAACTTCACCCCCAGCATGGTAACTCAAAATCCTGAGATCTCCCCTGTGAGGAGTGAAGGGTTGAACCCATTTGGCACTGCAACTTTTAAGACCTTACCTGAGAGACAAGCTCCCCAAACATCCAGCTTTGAAAGCCAATGGGGCTTGCCTCCACAAGACCCAGAAGACTATTTCGAACTGAAAAACAGTTCTGAAAGGGCTTTCATGGGCAGACTCATCCACCCTAGCGCCCAATACAAAGCAGCTGACTGAGAAGTGCCCAGGCTTTCTGTGAGAGAGGCTTATATCCTTATCAGGCATTGAATTAAACACATGTAGGGAGGAACCTACCAAAATGCTCCAAAGGGGGAGGCCAGTGGTGCCATATTTGTTCTCTCCCTCTGCTTCACTCCAGCCTCTTGCATCTCCCAGAAAGGAGCTTCTACACCCATCCAGCACCCTGCGTTTTGTGGCTGCTGCTAGATCACCTGGCTCTGGTGGCCAGTGGGGCTTGAGCTCGTGAGAACTATACTGGATGTAATGGATGTAGGGGCAAGTCCTAGCTGACTATGACTCCAAGGCACAGCAGAGGCAACAGACACAAATACCCAGTTCTTCTGTGGAAGACACCTAGTAGCTTACCTTCATAGCTGTGGCCTGAGGGG